ATCGCCTGCTGCCAGACAGTCCAGTTTCTCCCCGCATGAGTCCTGGGTCCCCAGAGACTTCCCGGAACCGGAGTTCAGAGCCGTTGGGAGCTTGTGACTCCCTCCGGATTCAAAAAGACAGCCGCGTCCTCAGGTGCCAGCCGCTTTCCGCGCGACGCGAGCCCCTACCTCCGCGCTTCTCTTCTGCAGCTTCTCTGGCTCTCAGTGTGCTTTTCTTTCCTTCTAGTTGTAGAATTTACAGTCAGCCAGGCTTCCTGTGGTTCTGGATGATGTCCCTATTGTTTTTCTGAGGTATTAATCAATTGTTGTGAGCGGCATCAACTTCCCGGTGTTTATCTCTGTCACCATCTCCAAAAAGCCTGACTTTTCAACCATCTTTTCTTTTGTATAAAATGGATATATTTTAGAACTTGAATATACTGTTACTTCATTCTGAAAATCAAATACATTAGAACCTCATTTAAACTTGGACTATTAATGTATGGTTCTTGATATACTAGAGGCAATATCTAATACTCTGATATATAGCTATATACACTAATGCCAGAAATAGTATGGCTACTAAAGATATGAGATTTTTATAATGTTCATTTATACAAATTTGTTTTTATAAATTGGTTTAAACATCTGATCTACCATGCTAAATGGTACAAACAGTTACACAATTATTTTTATATAGGCTGAAGTTTCCTATATTTAGTTTTCACTTGGAAAGGTGATTGTCTATTTAGGTTTAATTTAAAGCAAATCTCTATATAAAATTCACAGACTAGTCATAGTTCAGGCCAGTATTGCAATAATAATTTAACTTAATTTTCATTAAAATATCTGTCATTTTTGTTTACTTTTTAAATACCAAAATGTTTCAAATTTCAGGTTTAAATAACCTTCTTGATGAAAACCGAATTCAAGATTTATCGCTTCTGTATCAGCTCTTTAGTAGAGTTCGAGGGGGAGTTCAGGTTCTCTTGCAGCAGTGGATTGAATACATTAAGGTACCAACAATTGTGATTATTTTTTCTCCATCACGGTTTATATTCTGTATACCGAGTGCAGATCAGCAAGTATTTCTTACTAGTACTTGTTAGATCCAGTATTTTTAAAAAAATGTTAGCCCTAGCCAGTTCAGCTCAGTGGGATAGAGCATCAGCCTGTGGACCAAAAGGTCCCGGGTTTGATTTTGGTCAAGGGCACATACCTTTGTTGCAGGGTCCTCCCCAGCCTGAGCCCTGGTTGGGGTGCATGCAGGAGGCAACCAATCAATGTGTTTCTCTCACATCAATATTTCTCTCTGTCTTACCCTCTTCCTTCCACTCTCTCTAAAAATCAATGGAAAAATATCCTTGGGTGAGAATTTAAATAAATAAATAAATAATAAAATAAAATTTTAATCCTTAGAGGACATACTCAGAGGAAGGGAGCAAGAGAGAGAGAGAAACATAGATGTGAGAAAGAAACATCGATTGGTTGCCCTGACGGGATCAGACCCAGTATGTGCCCTTACTAGGAATCAAACTGGCAATCTTTCAGTGCACAGGACAACACTCAACCAACTGAGCCACTCTGGTTGGGCCCAATATTTTTTAAGTAATGGGTGTTTTGAGCAGTCAACCTGAGAATGATAGCTGTATGGTAAATCAGCAATTAAACATTTACCTTCTTGATATTGGCTATAATTTCTAGCTACAGTGCTTATAGCAGTGAATATGGAAAGAGGACTTTTATTGGATCCAAAATTTCCTTCCCTTTCCTAAATCTTTACACTGAAGGCAGATTGGCATTTTTATAAAACTTAAAGTTGACTTCTTTAAAAGTATGAAAAAGAGCCTAGAGACTTAAAATCATGTCCCATTATGATATTATATTCCCAGTGCTCATTTGTTATTTTGTGGTACAGAGGAATGGTATCAGTGTAGATATTTTATCACTTTATTTTTTCCTGACTTCAAAAACAGCTTTATTTTACTTGTTGAGATTTAAAAATATGTATACGTACTTAAAATATGATTTGGGGATTGTTTTCATTGTGGATAATTCAATTTTAGTAAAAAGTGGTAATTTTTGTTGTTTAGGCATTTGGCAGCACAATTGTAATTAATCCTGAAAAAGATAAAACCATGGTTCAAGAATTGCTGGATTTTAAAGATAAGGTTGACCATATTATTGATATCTGTTTTCTGAAGAACGAAAAATTTATCAACGCCATGAAAGAAGCGTTTGAAACATTCATTAACAAGA